ACATCCATAGGGGTTTAGTAGTTATGCCTGATGAGAGGAGAATACTACAAGTACTTTGCCTGCCCGCAGCCGGAGTGAGTTAGTTGCCTACATTTGTGGAAAAGCTTCCAAACACTCTCTCTGAATAGGTGCAAAGTGCTCTCTTGAGCCAAGAACACCTCTTGTTTTGGCTGGCCTCACATCCTTTTTGGCCTTCGCTCCCTGGAGGTGCAGAGTTGAAGTCAGGGAAGTTACACAAGTGSTTGGGGATTTGGGTGTATGTGTCATTTAACCGCAAAGAAAACAACTTTCTCTTTGAAGCACCCAGAATCCCTAATCGGGCATTAGCCGTTTCTCTCCGCAATGGAAAAGGATCCCAGTGAACTCTCCAGCAGGTCCCATGGACCCCATGCACCCTGCTACAATACTTCACTCATCGTATAGTTGTAAGGAGCTCCTCTTGCYGTGGTCATGCTGTGTGGTACTCCACTCAAGAAGGGTGGATTTCCAGGATTTTCTGGAGGAGTTCATTTTCCTGCTCAAAACGAATAAAGATAGCAATATTTCTGTACCATGCTGAAGAATGCTTCTGAAGGAAGTTACCATCCAGCCCTTCCTACCCCTTACCTATCTTTTGGTTACTGAGCTGCTCTGTTACCTTCCTCATTGCACTGAATCGAGCAGAATTGCCCTCTCCAAGCAGAAGGCCGACCATGTTRTTGCAAGAGGGATCTGCCTGATTCACCTTAGATAAAGCTCCACCGGGAGCAGAGAGGCTCAGATTCATTTTCAGTGGGCAATACTGTTTGCAGGAAATAACAAAATCTCCTAAATAGCATTTTCAGGTCTGTCTGTATTTGGGTATTTGCACAGACTTCTGAAATACTCATGTCATTAACACTTCTATATATACACCCTCAAAATGGTTCTAATTCTTTAAAAGTAACATAGTTCATATAAATAGATTACCCTCCCTGATACATAAGTACATCTTGTGCATCTTTTTAAAAGCACATTTGTACCTTGCATTGAGTTTGACCCTCTGTTGTCAGTGAGAAAGTGAAAATAAAAGTGGCCTTGTTGAATGTCTGCAGTGGACGTGCAGTGCAGGGTGAGATTATGCGTGTGAACAAACTGAAGCAAAGTTAAAGGAAATCCCTTTTCCTATAGGTTAAC